ATATATATAAGAACACAACATCTGAATGGAAACAAAACCTATACGTTTTTTGCAGTAAAAACGTGCTGCCCCACGTACATGTTATTTTCACAGATGTGTATTTATACTTTGTTCACCCTCGTTGTTGTTTCACTTCATCCCTTTTGTTTTGTGGTACAGAACAAACTTTAGTTTTAAAATACTGTACATCTACTTGGACTGGTTTATGTCAAGACTGGGCTGGATCACAAAGTAAAGTGGCCAAATGTGTACTTCAAGTTTTACAGTACTCTCATTCACTTGCTCATTCATTTGCTCAAAGGCCAACAACAACAGCTCAAGTCTCTGAGCAATATTTTTAGACTGTGAGAGAAAACCTGAAAAACGGGACACCTGCCATTTGAGGAATGATCCTATTGTCCCTTCAGATCACATGACTGTGAAGGGGAGGATGATTTCACTCATGCATGGTCTACTCTTCATCTCTTTCTGGTGAGTAGAACACTTAGTTCTCAGTCTGGTCTACAGTCACAATGGAAATCTTAATTTTTTTAATGTGTATAAGCTACCTCCTCCCTGTGCAGCCCGGAGACACAGATCGCTGTAAGTTAATGAAACTTTACAATCTTGTTAACTTGTTTTAAGCAGTCATGATAGTACTTGTGATTATAGTCTTGGTTTCTATTGGAAAGAAGTTCTAACCTGTTGACTGCTTTGTTTTTAACAGACACATACTGTGAGAGTTGTTTAACGGCAGCACAAGGTTTGGCGGACAACTATTCTACTTGCCTTTGAGCACAAAGCAATGTTTCCAAATGATAAGCACTTAAGAGGCACTTGATTTGACTTATCAAATAAGGTCTTGCTTCCTAAGTAAATCAATGGCATGTTTCTCATATGGCATCTTATTTTCTTGAAGACACGGTAAGTAAATAAAAACATGTATATGCTGTCCTCCAGAGATTGAGAAAGCCATGAAGCAAACCTCGGCTGAGAGCAGACAGACAGTGGTTGAGAACCTCATCAGCGGGGGGGTATGTGAGAAACTGCTGTCCAACAAACATGACCATCTCACTAATGACAAACTGATGTCCTCCTGCAGTCACCTGTTAGGTAAGGTCAGACTGAACATGGACAATGGGTTTGCACTGATGACTGAAGTGAATTGACTAATAACTGATTCTTGAAACCTCCCTCAGATTCTAATTACGACCAGTTCCATGTAGCTTTGGTGGATAAAGAACCAAAGAATCTGGATATTCTCCTGTGTTACGAGCAGTCCACAGCATGTGTGGGGGTGAAACGCCAGTCTTTTGAGGTAGGTTTTGAAGCGTATATATGTTGCTGATTGTGAAAATATAAACAGTAACCACATCTAATTAGACTTGGTTGCTCTTATGAGAACTTACATCGTTTGATCTTTGTTCACAGGATTCCAAAACCACTTTTAAAGAAAGTGACATCGCTGCTCTGCTTCAAGAAAACAAGGAAAACGTACGCTTTGCTCGGCCTGTACGTTCACCTATACATCCACGAGATGAGCTGTGAGAGCAGCAACATCATTTTATTTGCCACTGAATGTGTGATGGCTTTTTGTTTTTCTGTGAGTGTCATAATAAAGACATTATCAAAAGATTAAAAAACATTTTACTGAAAACTGAAAACATGAAAACACCATGTGCATGTGTCCTAATCTTTCAGCTAGGTAAAATAGAACAAATGGCTTCAGACCTATTATATTTAATATTTTCCTTTTGTTGAAAACATGGTGTGTCAGCTCAAATCCACTAACAATAAACCCACTGAAGTGACAAAAATCTAATCAGCACAACTTACTTGGCAGATAAGGATCATGCAGGTCGACTAGATAGCAGACTTTGTGGCCAAAGGTTTTGTATACATGTGTGGCACTTGGTAATTAACTCTACAATCCTTACACAACAATAAAAAAGATTGACACAGAGCCCCTCTACAAAACAGGACAGCTAAATTGTCTAAAATGAGTGACCCACATGAGTTGATATATTCCCCTCACAAATTTGCAGTTAATATATTATAATATCTAAAAATATTATCATATCAATTTGCAGATACTAAATCCAGAAATGCAAACCTGGGACACTGAGCCCTGGGAGTCTGGATTTCTGGGCATTGAATTGGTAATCCTGCCACATAAATGATAAAAGTAACTGTATGATAATAGTTGTATTTGTCGGCAATGTTTGGAACAGCAGATACCTTGAGTGAGACAGCTCCCCTCATCCCTGGAGGTCCTGGATTCAACACAGTGGAGAGCACATGATCTATAATGCACAGGAAAAAGGAGGCTGTAAATTAATGTAGAGGTTAATACCATTGGGTTTTGTAATTTGTCATTTGATTTTGTGATTTGTTGTCATGATTTTTTTTTTTAAGGGCCACCCTTTGGCCCAGATGCCTCGGAACAAACACAGTGGACATATTGTATATCTATGTAATGTACTTGTAATCATAATTCATATTCAGATGCCACCTTAATCAATGATCCATGATCAAGAATCCATGATCCACAATCCACAATCTACAATCCACAATCTACAATCTACAATCCACAGTCTACAATCCACAATCCACAATCTACAATCTACAATCCACGATCCACAATCTACAATCCACAATCCAGAATCTATGATCTACAATCTGTAATCTACAATCCACAATCTACAATCTACAATCCACAATCTATGATCTACAATCCACGATTCACAATCTATGATCTACAATCTACAGTCTACAATCCACGATCCACAATCTATGATCTACAATCCACGATTCACAATCTATGATCTACAATCTACAATCCACAATCTATGATCTACAATCCATAATCCAAAATCCACAATCCACAGGCCTCAGTTTGCAAACTATAAAGAACAAGGAATGAATTCCTTAACGTGTAAAGATGAGATATTGATGTGATGAAGAGGAGGAGAGTGAAGCTCCGCGTCTCCCTCGACAACCTCGGTAAGAGCTGGACCAACGCAGAGCTGAGCCAGCTCTCGACGCAACGTGGACCGTTGCTAGGTGGCGCTGTTGGGGCCCGGAAGAGTTGAGGAAGAGGACGATGATATCGGTGGCAGCGATGATGTGCAGCTCGAGGGTGAGAGGAGGAACGTGGGGTCCACTTTGCGGTCGTCGTCTTTCTTGCGACACGCGTCAACGTGTAACCGTCGGCTGAAAGGCAAACAGGAGACATCTGCTTTTATTTGTGAAGGTAAGAGAATGACAGGGAGTCCTCGCGACGGGCTTGTCAGCTGTCTCTATGAATCAGATCTAAAACCTCTTTTCTGGTTTGTAAAAATCGAGCGTTTCTTGTGTCACACCTTCAAATCTGCCGGCTGTGATCACCGGGAATACAACGTGGAGCTGGCTGAATGAACCCCTCAGCAGGGGGGGGGGTCTTAGTCTGTAAATGATAAATGTTCAAAGCTTTTCTTTTAATCCCATCCGCACATCCAACGACCCGTGTTTCACTGCCTCCCTGTGCAGCGTCATTTTCCGGTCTTCAGAAATAGAAACAGCATTGATTAGACTTCATGACACACTGAATGGAAAGTCAGTCCCCGCCTCTGTGTGATAGAAAGGAATGGCAGGAATGTGATGAGTGTGATAAAAAAAAAAAAGAACACTAAGAGCAGACAGAGCCTCTTTTGTTGGAGCCCATGTGTCTTGCTCTTCCACTCATGATCCCAGATGCTTCCCAGAAGAGATCCACACCCAGTGCAGCCTGGAAGCTTCTCTCCGCTGACATCTAACCCCACACTCTGTTTGATTTAACAGGCTACATGGTGTGTGTTCCCCTCTCAGAGTGTGGATGTGTGGGGGTCCAGAGATGGAAAGCTACGAGGAGTTCTGCCTGCGGAGTTTGGCCACACTGCAGGAGAAGGGCCAATTCAAGAAGGTGACATGTGAGACGCCGTGTTCCCTCAAGGCTCTTTCCGTCATCCGCTTCTATGGAAGAGCTGTGCTTTCGCCACTGGTAAGGAGGAAATAAAGAAGGCATGAGAACTAAGCTAAAGTAGACAGAAGCCACGGCATATGAGTGTTTTGAAGAGGGTTGCAGATGTTATGATATCCAGACCAAGTCGTTTGCCATCACACAATTGTCTCTGCTGTGTAGTAGCACAATGTTTGTTTGGTTTCCCTGGAGAATATGTGTCACTCTCTATCTGCCGCATAGCAACAGGAAGAATTGTATTTTTCAGGGGCCATAAAAATGAAAAGAACAATCATGGTGCATTCTGCAGATGCTCGCACAGATACTCACACATACGATTAAATTAAAGGTAGCATTCCATTCTTTGTGAGGCCTCCATAAGCAGTTGGCATCAGAAAGACGGGAGATAATTCATGACGAAAAACATCATGGCCGTTTGATGTCAGTCAGGTGAATCCTATCTGCTGGTGACTGCTGAGAAAATTAGTCTTCAGGAACAGCCGGATAGTGGAGACCAGTGGAAGATGTTTTCTCCAACTCAAACAAAGGAGACACAAAGTGGAATAAACGTTGATTGTGATTTGAGTTGTGGAAAGTAAATCACAAATGTCCCTCATTAAATACTTGTTGTCTAATGCAAACCACTTGTGTCCTGCAGTGTGATGATAATGCTCGAGTCTGTGAAGAGGGAAACTGTATCAGTTGTAGCCCAAGATTCACACGTGTGTGTATTGTCTTTTTCCAGCTGAATGCAGAGCAGCGTACCATGATGTGTGGCCACAGAGAACGAGCGGTCCAGCGGGAGATGGACAGGCAGAACCAGCAGAGGAACGAGCTGTTGGCCCGAGTTCAGGACATACTGGGTCAGGCTCAGGTCAGTAGCACAACATGGTAGCAGGCCTGGTTGTGGTCTGATGAGGGGAATCCAGTAAGTTATGGAGCCTTATAATGTGCTGAATTTGAAATGTTCAGATATGAAATAGGTCTGTGTGTCAGTCGCACAATACAGCACAAAACAGCACAAAACTGTCTTTCCTGCAATCTCCAGTGACATTTGCCGACTTGAATATCTAGGTTGTCTGACTCAACATCAGGCTGTGCTGTTTTAATGATGGCAGAGTTTTGTCAACTCAACATCCAAAGCAATATTATTCATTTGCAAATCTGCTCCAATCATTAAACTTATATACAAGCAGTGGATTATCTGATACTTTCTCCTTTTAATTCTTTGTGTGTCAGTGTGATAAATAAATTGTTTAAACCAATATCCGTTTGACGAAATAGTTCAAGTAAAACTGTCAGCAGGTCATTGTTGATATATATTTTCAATGTTGTTTACTGATTCGTCATCGTAACTTGTTATTTCTGCACAGACACATAAAGCACAGAGTGAAGAGGATGACAAGCTGCCAGTTTCTAAATCTGCGACAGTCAGTGGATACACTCTGGTCACTGACTCACCTGGACTTCCCAGAGAGCCTGAATTTGGGCTTCAGACAAATGATCAGCTTCCAACTCCATTTTCTGAGAGCCCCACCCTCAGTGGCTGCAATACAGTGCAGGAAGTGAAGGTGATGAGTGAAGAGAAGAGTGAGGAGGAAGAGGAGGATGATGAGGATATTAGTTTGGATAGCCTTCTTAAGAAATCAAGAGAGTATGTGAAGAGAGAGCAGAGTCAGCCGGGGTCAGAAGTTGTCCACACAGTCACCCGGACTCCTACGTCTGAGACCGTCCCTGTCAAGGAGATTAGGAGCTCTAGTCCAACTAGGGACAAGAGCGTTGAGTTTGGATTCAGTCTGCATCATAGCCTTATTAGCACACCTCAGACCCTGATCCAGCATCAAAGTCTATATGACCCCAGTTTCCAAAGGTCTGGTTGCCTCTCACCTAGTCTACCTGACCGGTATGCCCATCTCCCCAGTCTAGAGTCCAGCATTAGTCCCTGTGCCCGGAGGCGTAGACCACGCCCAGTCTCTACAGGCAACATCCATATTTCATTTCCCATTGGCCCAGCAGACCTTATCCCCCGTGGCCCTGGAAGGCCAGGGGAAGGTGCTAGCATGGCAGATTGGGGAGAAGCTCTTGCAGGGGCCACAAAGTCTTCCGAACACCGGGGCTTGGTGGGGAATGAAGGCGGGAGCAGGAGCGGCAATCGTCAATCCAGTCATTGTGGTAGCAGTCCAGTGCAAGAGGCCTGTAGCCCTGTAACCCCCTCAACGCCCAGCCCAATGGGACACCGTGATCCTCCAACTGCAAGCTTCCGGCGGCGCTGCCACACCCTGGATAGCCAGCACATAGACCGCTGCCAGGAAAGGATCCCTCGTTTCATGGCAGGAGTATCTTGGTTGGCTCCCAGTCGGCGCACCCCTGCAGCCGCCTTAAACCAGTCGTATGACGTAGAGAATCCTTCACCAAATCTGCTGAGGCCCCATGTGTCTCCTGATATGACTCATGTCACACTCAGGATGGAGCCCGATGATCCTCAGGGGCCAAACCATGGACGGATCAGAAATGCACCTGAAGCACAGGCCGGCAAGACAGGTGAATCTCTCTCCCATTGTTTTTACTACAATCTACGGAGATAACTGTCTTAGCCACGTTTTCTCCCGCTACAGCTTTAAGGTTAAACACTGTTTTATTCATGTTTGTGTGTTTGTACGCCAACAGAGGAGACCCAGAGGCGGACGCAGGCTCTAGAGGACATGCAAAGACGTCTGGAGGAGGAGCACGCTTTGCAGATGTCGATGCTCCTGGCTGAGCAGGAGGAAGAGCAACAGTGCCTCCGAATGGTGAGCAGATGGAATCACACAAGATTTATTCTACATAGTACAAGACTCCAACATTTTTGTTCATTTAATTATCTTTTGTTAAAAGTAAAAAAAAAAAAATACTTAATTGTCCTGTTGCATGTGTGTTGTCTTTTTTGGAGTTGCAAACATGAATAGAATGAGAGTAATGATGTGTCTTTGTGTGTGTGTTTATGTGTGCGTATATGTGTGTGTGTGTACACCGTAATGCACTTACATGTGTTCAGGAGCTTGAGGAGACAGGGAGAAGCCTGAAGGAGCAGGGGTGTGTGCGGCCTCTGGGTGGAGATGGTTATGGGTGGCATCGTAGGTCCGTGAGTGACAGCTGTCCTGTTGTGAGCCCCTCTTGCCCGGGTCTCAGCCTTGCACACACACCATCTGAGAGATCACCTGGACACAGCAGAGGTACAACCATGCTCACAGTAGTGACAAAAGATATGTAGTGGAGTAACGCAGCTCATCAACACACGCCAGAGGTTTTTCTCTCGTAACCTAAACAAGATAAAACTATCATTTTGTAGGCCTCTAACCTCATTAGAGCTATAGATATACAATACTAACAAATCACTGTCCCACTCTAAGGAGCAAAGGATGGGAGTCATGCTTATACAGTAGTTATATATCCTGCTTACGGATATGGTAGTTTTCGTTTTGATCGTCAGTAGTTATATACAGTAGATGTAACAAGAGACAATCAGTCACATACAATTTCAATTAAGAATGAATGAACCTAACCCCAGTCTCCATGTCTTTGGACTGCGGGAAGAAGCTGGTGTCCCCAAGCAGACAGTGGGAAGAAGATGCAAACTCCACACAGAAAGACCCCGGCCTGAACTGGGATTCAGATCTTGCTGTGTTGTGACAGTACAACTGCACGCCATGCCGCCCTTTGGATAAGATTACACAAAAACATTTATTTGGATTCTTCGCTGCAGGACTGCCACATTCTGAGCAAAACAGCAGGATTTGCAAAATTAGCCTGGACAGTTTGCATTGTACAAGTTAGAAGTGTGTGTTTAAATTTATATGATCTGTTTGTTACTCTCCACAGGTTTTCCCAATCCTGTTAGTCCCAGTGTGTGCACTCCCTCTGCCCAGCCTCCAATTTACCTGTGGGGGCCCACTTGGGTGGCTAGCAAACCTCGAGCAAGGCTAAGTCTGGTGGGTATGTCTTGCAGACTTGAGGAGGTGCACTAAAACAGGACTTCTGATCTGATATTTCTCTGCAAGTGAGCTGCAAAACACTGATGATCAGTCAGTCTATGATAAAATGCAAATGTCCTCAAAACAAGTATAGTACACTATCATAATCCATATTCCTTTGTTTTACATCATCGTATACATGTTGCTATGAACTGTGGGTAATATTCCAAACAAAGTGAGGTGAAGTCGGCATCCTAAGTCCACTTGTAGCCCCTGCTGGACTTGATAAATTGTGAATTTGGATAGCTGCATGCACCTGTGGACGTCCCCCGGGAAGAAACCTCTGTTAGTCTGCAAGCTCAGTGAAGTCTGTATACGTATATATTTAATGGATTGACCTTTATTTTTCAAACCTTCTCAGTGGTCCTGTCTTCACATCCCCATCCACTTGCATCCTTGTGATTTGCAGATTCTGACAGCAGAGCAGCAGATGGCATTCTGTCGAATTGGTGCTATCACTCGAGGCTTCCTCACTCGCAGATTGCTCAGGACAGAAAAGGTCAAACACCTGCGCCAGACCATCGTGGTAAGTTTACACACACATGCAAAAGTGGGCGGTTGTGGCCCAAGAGCAGGTCGCACACTAACCAGAAGGTCAGTGATACAGTCCACGGCTCCTCTGTTCATGTGCAGAAATGTCGTTGAACCCCAATTTGCTCCTGGCGGCTGTGCCAGCAGTGTTTTAGTGATGTGTAATAAAGAAAGTGTTGCACATACATTCATTATTTGAATATGTGTGAATGGCTGAATGGCAAAAACTGTGCTGTAAAGTGCTTTGAGTGGTCATCAAGACAAGAGAAGTGCAATATAAATGCAGACCATTCACACAAAACAAAACATGCTCAAAACCTTTACAACAACTCCAAAGCACCAATGTTAGTATAATAAAAGTCATAAAAAAATCATGTTTGTGACTTGATAAAACAAAACACGTTTATGAATGTGTACTGTATAATTGTTCAACAGGATACACAGGAGTTCATCCGTTCATTCAAAACTGAAGCCCCACAAAAGAAATGCACCTTCTCAGCACAAGATCTCTCCCTGCAGGAGAGAGTTAGAGCGCAGGTATGAATGTGTACTTACTTTCTTTAGACAGCAGAGGTCAATCTTTCCTTTTGTTTATATGCATATATATGTTTTGCCCCTCAGTTACGTGCAGCCCAATATGATATCCATGACATCTTCTTTGAAATGCCTCTGGGAGATCGATTAGCATTGCTGCAGCAGGACAGGGAGCTCCGTGCAGAGAGGAAACTTCGAGACCTGGTAACTAAAAAAAAACTGGCCAATCATCATATTGTTATGTATGTTGATTCTTTTGTCTCTCAGTAAGAACTTAAAAACATGTTTGTACTAAAGCAGGTTTGTTTGTAGGTGGGGGGTTGTTTCGTAGCTTGTCGTGCATTTCTTTTCTGGTCAGTTCTTTGTGCCCGTGTGCCTCGTCTTGTTTTGTTTCCATTCAGCATCAATACAATCTGTGTAACGTTTAAGCCAGACATCCATGCCTTTTTCAAACAACCTTTCAAACGCTTTGTTTTATGCCAGTAAATAAACGGTAATTCCTGATTGTTGGGAACCTACAGGAAAAAACAAAGTGCCCCAAAGAAAGAGCGGTTCTGTCTGCTGCCACACAGAGGTCTCTGGACAGGAAAAATAGGTAATATGGGAAAGAGAAACACATCCTTCCATAGTATATTGGTTTCAGTGGTCGGCTGTATTTCTATTTCTTATTATTTCTTTCAGGGTTGGTGAATCCCCAGCACAGTCGAGGAAGATGCAGCAGAAACCAAAGAGCCCCACTACCAACAGGTGCTAACACAGCTTTGACTTCGTGCTCAATATGTTCTTGTTTATTGTCCCCAGAAAATCCGTTCTCCAAATATAGCCTTGAGTTTTTATGGCTGCCTGGTTGTCCGTCACATTTTTACATTTTTGTGAAAACAAAATCTCAACAACTAGTTTGACTTGAGGATGAATTGAACAGACTTTGGTGGCTCAAGGTCACTGTGACTTCACAAACCACATTTCACATTTTTTTGCCTTGTGAAAGAGATATTTCAGGAACACCTCCAGCCAAACCTTTCATATTTAGTACAAATGTTTACTTGGGTGTTTAATTGAACTGATTAGAATTTGGTGGCCAAAGGTCAGGGTCACTGTGACATTACAACGCAAGTTTTTGGTCGTGTGAATGCAACATCTCAGAAACACGTGCTGTGAACTCAAATTATACCAGAAAAAAACTTATGTAGCCTGAAACTGCACTGGTTGGCAGAATCATACAATTGCAGGCTGGTAATCATGGTTTTTCTTCCCCAGAGTCCTGAAGCCGAGCCAATGCCAAAATTCTTCTGCCCCAGGCCAGCTGAACCGTCAGGGGTGAGTTTGTGTTTCACAATGCCTCACTTTTAACTGTATCTTATAATTACAAATTGCCTTGTCTTCCTATCACACTGCACTACTGAGTAAATGCTTTTCAGGTTGCTCCTGATTTACAATGCTAATGCTCATGACAGAGGCTATGCACACCAGTCACGTTCTGTTGATTTAGATAAAATGAACTGTAATTCAAAAAATTCACTCAACAATTCAAACAATCAGAACATGTCGGCTGTTTCCTCACAGGAGCTGGTACAGAAAGACCCCGGAGGAGAGAGTAAAGCGCTCTGACAGCCTAAAGAAGCAGCACTCTCTTGGTTAACTGGTGACTCTTTTCTCAACACTGGAACTCCAGCAAGCACTGCTTACAGTATGATGGTCTTTCATCTACCTTCTGAGATTCAAATGATTGTATACGCTATCACAATGCCATTGCTGTAACTGTTGTAGCTATCGTTTTTAGTGCCAACAACTGATTGTCAAAGACAAGACATGTGTAGCTGGAGTAATCAATGACAAGGTAGGCACAGTTTACATTTTTTTAAAGAAAAAGATAACTCCTGTATTTGTGCTTAAATACAATCCTGAACAAGGTCAGAGTTGAAGGGAAATATATTCAAACAATTTATCTGTGCCTATAAGACCTATGCCTTTGCTATATGTAATATTTTGGCATGCTGATATTTACCATTTGTGTTCATAAACATCTAGTGCTTATAGCTGTTAGCGAATTTACAACCACCAGGTTCATGCTGACACTCACTAATGTGATTTAAGTGTGTATAATGTCTATACATATTTTGCTCAAGGGCTTTGAAAACCAATTTGTGCTTTGTTTCTTTATTTAATGGTGCTGAGTTTGCTGTAATTTCACCTTTATCAATGCCTAATAAAAAGATGTTTAAATGTATTTGTTTACACACTGGCAAACTGTTACATTAATGTTCCTTAGCATAGCAGCACATATTCTGTGTTTTCTTTTTTTTTTGCTACAGATGTAGAAATTATATATATTTTTTCCTCTTTATTTCCCATCAAAGAAATCGGAGAAATGAGGGTTTGACATATTATACAAGGACATTAATGTGAACATATTATCACAACACATCTTAATCGGTACGCTATCTTGTTCACTGCAATACCACATCAACTGCAGTGACACGCTCGCCTTTTTTATTTTGATTTAAAGCATTCCGATTAAAGATTTTGGGTCAACTGTTTGCAAGTAACGTGATTTAATACGTTCTGATGATTACTTGTGTCACAGTATTAGGCCCCATGTAAACATACATATTGACTTTATACTTCCATCAGTAGTGTCATTGGTGCACCTGTTTATACTGTACATGCATTTATTTGTATTTAAAATGCTAAAGTGTCATGTTTTCAGTGAGCAGAATAAATGGTTAATTATCTGAATGATCTGATTCCTCATAAAATTTAAAATACAGTAGATTTCCAGTGAAACTGGCTTGACACTGGAACTTTTTTAAACAGCCACTGCCACCATATAAAAGTATGAAAGAACTAGACTTTTTGAACACAACTGTATGTCCAACATTCCTGTACTGAGATTGACTGGACATGGAGAAGTGACAACCACAAGAACAGATAATTATGTTTGACCTGAAGACAGAAAACATTTTAATTCTATAACATTTTAAAAGATTTATAATGACAATGTTAATGTTGCATAAGCCAACCGGTGTTAGTTATCCAAGCAGTAACACAAGAACAAAGCTTGAGCTGAAATAAGTGAAGTCCCGCTTACTGCAGGGGACATTTTTCACACTTCCTTCTCTGCCTTCCAGAACATACCAATAATCATGTATCCAATATATTTATTAAGATCAAAAGAAGATACAAGTAGAATCTACTGCACGGGGTCCTGCAGTATTGGTAAACGTAAGATCCATCACATGCCATTTACTACC